ACCTTACAATAGCAAAGCACAAATCCTATCTTGCAAGATCAATCCCAAACAGTACTATGCTAAATCCATATCTATACCATATGGGCGGATTTTAATGATTTCAGATGATAATTAAAAATTGATCTACATATTTACATATATATTTGTTGTTTTGTACAAATCACTTTTTGTACTTTTTTATATACCCGATACTGTACGTAACAAATGGTTTTAATATATCTTTGCTCTTTTTGTTTACCAAATCTAAGTTATTCATATCGATCTCAAAGTTCTCTTGTTAAACATAAAAAAACTAAACATCAGAGCAATAAAATTATTCCACACATATATGCTATAACTGCACCTTCAAGCTATGATATTAGACAATTTAAAAACGCATTTATTATTCAAGTAAAAAAACGTCTTTAGTTTGGTCGAAATGCAGTTAAAAATAAAACAATTCAATTCGAACCTTTTTCTGAAGGATTATTTATTATTTTATTTCGGCATATTTCTACTTTTTATTTTGTTGTATCACAAAAAAAATATACAGTTAGTTTTAATGGAAGTACAGGTTATAAAGAGTTGAGAAATTTATTAAATGATAACGAATGGGGTAGCAAAGACAATGGGTCAGGATCCGTTGCTTATGTTTTGATGGAAAATGAAACAGAAACTTATCAAGTTAATTTTATTTGGAAAGAACATGTATATAGAAAGCATCACTATCCTTTATCTTGTGGTTCAATGATATGTATATTTAAAATCGATGTTTGAGACTTTATTTCTGAATAAAGTAAATAAATTTTTATTTGAATTTTTAATAGATTTTGTAATTTAATTTAGCGACAAATAATAAAAAATCATATCGTTGCTATAGAAACTAGTAATAAAATAGCAATGTTTTATAGGGATGTATTAGAGCTTGAGTTTAAATAAAAGTTAGTACCGTTAATTCATATTATTATCAAAACAATTATATTGCTAATTTGTTAATAATTTATTATTAAACTAATCTATATTATATACATATACTTTTCAATTCTTATCTTATAAATTATATATTAAATCTCAATACAAAGAATTTTGAAAATATATATTTATAACCTCATTACTGTACAGTATAGCAACATCTATCAATTAAACATTGTCTTATATTGATGAAAATTAAACAAATGTCTCACTAATCATGAGCTATATTTCAATAGTATCTCAACCATCATAATCTAATCACTAAATGCTTATCCTAAAAAGTTGCTAGAATAGTTTTATAACACAACAATAAAGAACCATTATGATGATTATTTAACACAACAATAAGGAGTTTTTAGAATGATTGTTTATCACTTACTGTAAAGAACTATTAGAATGATTATTTTAACAGTGCTAAATAATCAAAATAAGATCTTTAACATATACATGATAATTGGTTAAAACTTATATAACTATCATTTATCTATATATCGTATATATATAATATACTCTTAATTTACTTCTAATAAAATCCAATTCTTAAAACCCATCTCTATTTCTAACTAAAACCATTTCTAACCCTAAACCTAAATCCAATACCTAACCTTAAATTAATCCAACCTGGCATATTTTTAATCGAGAAATCCCAAAAATTTTAGATCAGAACCTGGTCGGATGGACCAGAATTGATCAATTTTGCTTAAGTATGCCGAAAAGCCTGTTGAAAAAAGGTCTATCTTTAATACTCTTAATTATTTTCTGATTCTTTTTAGTTAATAAGTCATTACTTATTTTTTTCTTTCGTTTCTTCCTCATTTCAATCATGTTTTTGGAGAAAATCATCGACAGCTATTCTTTGACAACTGTGAATAAATGAATAACAGAAAAAGAAAACTATAGGCAACGAGTTTGCAACAAAGCACCAATAGTGTGACGATACAACTGGCGACTCTAGCGACGATTAGTACTTAGGATAAAAAAAGGTAGCTAACGTTAATACAGTATTAAAAAAAAAACAAAAAAAACCAACAATAATCTCATTGTTTATGTATCCCGTGATTACACAGGAACGTGAGTATAAAAATTTTAATGTACCCCTAGAGTATATATATATTAATTATATATTATACATACAATTACTAAATAAGCGATAAATTATGTTATAAAATTCTAATATAGAATTTAATTTTTAATTTGAATGATTTTACGTAAATAAGTTGTGGGAACATTATGAATTTGATAATACATTTGTCGATTTTTATATATCATAATATCATATACTACAGGTTTACGGACTTTACCTCCATCCATTGTTGTTCTAGAAAAAAAAAGTCGTATCTAAATAGAATAAGATATTAATAAATATGTAAATAAATTATAATAAAAATTATTTTAAATAAAACAATGGTTTTTACATGTTCATGATTTTTTTTTCGAGACTGGAAGTTGAAAATAAACGCAGTGACAATTCCTCTATTTTTTAAATTGCGCATAAACTTAGGCATATGTTAAGCTAACATGTGCATGTATGGTGTTATATTTTTCTTTGAATACATTTCTTGTTATTGGTTTGATGAATTTAATTTTCCAATTGTAGGTTGAGTAAAATCTTTAATCCATTGCTTTACATCATCTTCAAATTTATCAATTTCCATATCAGTTAAAGTTTGTTGATGCATTACTTTGTAAAGTCTGTAAAATTCACGCCAAAGATATTATACTTCTCTTCCTCTATTCAAATTAAAAAATTTTGATATTTGAAAAATTTGTAGTACTTTAAGTTTGTCGGGACCCATCAGAGAAGTCTATGTCCATAGGTTTGAATTAGTTATAGGAGAAAAAAATTTAAAATGTATACCAATTCGATTCATCTCAGCAATTATTAATTAACTTATTGTTTTTGCAAATTTTTTTCGATTAGTTGAAAGTTCATAAAAAGCACATGGCAATAAAATATCTGATATGCGTAATATAGTATGCAATTCATCAGGAATCCAATTGCCTTGATCAATAGTATTAAAAAGCATTAAATGTTTATGTCCTATTTGTTAATAATAAAATTAATTGGCTTAAATAAGTTAGCTACATAATATATATTATATATAATAATCTTAAAACAATTCTTACTACGTGTATTGAAACCATTATTCCAATTTAATTCCATATTAGCACATTCACTTTTATGACAATTACAAAACAAACAAAAATAATTTGAGTTTGCTGCGTTTAGTCCTAATACTAGTGCCAAAAATTTCTAGTCTCCTGAAAAAAAAAATTCTACAGACCATATTGTTCCTAAATTATCAACAAACCCAGTATTTTTCAATTCTTCAAGCTCTTGGGCGAATTTTTGATAAACACAATTTAATGAATCACAATTTTCTTTGCCAATATATAGACAAATGCTTTAAAATAAAAATTAAATTAAATTAAATAATAGAAATTATAATAAAAATAATAAATAATTTTTTACCTATATACATGATCCGGACTTAATACTGCTTCACCTTCATTTAAAATACTAACTGCAAGTATTACATGACTCTGCTTCCTACCAATATTCCGACTATCTTCACCAATTTTTATATTAATCTTATCACCAAAATAAAGAACAACTAGATTTGATGTTGTTAAAGCTAGCACCAAAACTGTTAATAAAGATTTAATTGATCGGTAAACTGCATTTTCAATTTTAGAATTGTTCAAATCTACATCTATTTTAGCTACATTTTCTGTAATATCTTCTTTAAACTCCAATATTTGATTAATATTAAATAGAACTATTGGTAAATATTGGTTTATTTGATTATTAATCTTTTTACGTTGTTGTTCTAGTAAATATTCTCGAACCATATTTGAATCTATAGCTGCCAATTTTTGATATCCATTACGAGAAATTAATGTTTCATCACATATCCGTACAAGGAAACAATAATATTGTTGTTTGTTTTCATTTTTATGCTGATAATCAAGAGTTATATCTTGATTCGCAATCTTAAGCTTTGCTAATTCAAGCTTTACTATATTAGCATCTGATGAATTAACAAATTGATGATTATGAAAAAGCTTTGTTGTTTGAATCTTTAAATCTTTTGCTGCTAGTGCAATTCATTTGTTTTTTTGTGAATCAGATCTTAATTCCATATAAGGATATTTGCAATTGGTAGAACCTTCTATTCTTGCTTTATGCAAACAATCAATATCAAATCCAAATAAATAGATTCCAGAAATATGGGTTTTTGGTTTATTACAAAGAATTTTATCTTTTTTCGTATATGCGATATATCGCTACCCCCCTGTTATACAGATCGACATTATATAAACAGATAAGTATAGCTTTTTTTTTTATTGGCTTTTTCTTTTTTTTTTTCTTTTTACTAACAGGTTTTTTTATAGTATCGTTTCGTCGTTTTGGCGCGTCGTTGGATTGTCGCTTCTTCGTTTGCTTCTGGAGTCGCATTTGGTATTTCGTCATGTTGGTAAGTGCAGCCTTTTTTTTT